GCACAAGGCTACGCAAACGTTGGTCCTCGAGAGGAAGTTTCTTTTAAATTTCAATGCCTCGGTGAGTCAGTCTATCTATGATTTTCAAAGCTTCCTCACCAAGTCTGAGAGCAGGAATTTTCACCATGCAAACTTAAGACGGCTGAAAGTATGAGGCAATGCCAAGCGGTCAACCGACCAAAGTTGATGCTCAGTGCACCTTGGCGAGCTGCAGTGGCAGCTTGAAGCAACAACACGCAAGCACTCACAATGTCCTTGCAAAGTCGCTGGCTGAAGCCTCGGGGAAGCACGCACAACAATATGGAAAGGTCATGGTTGAGCAGAGATGTTCGGGAAGTTGAGTTGCAAAAAATGTTGGCAGAAGCCCTCGCAAGGCCTTTCTGCCCAAAAGGGCTCCTGCGCAGAAGCCTTCCCGATCATGCCAGTTGCAGAGGCCCGTTCAACTGTTCGCATGCTATGGTGGCTGCGGCTTTCATCGGCATATTCACTGCATCCTTGGCGGAGCCCGCGCATACTTAATTCTCTTTGTTTGCGTGGTGAGCAGATCGCAAGATATGCTTGTTGCAAGAAACTATAGCTCGAGCCGCCACAGAATCTCCAGACTATCAATTTGTATGCACACATGTATTTGCGGAAGTTCAGGCTAGAGTGGTGGAAACTTACCTTGCCGCTGAATTTTCCACAATGCTATGATGCGACGACATGTTTCCAGACGAGGTGCCACTCGCAGAAGCTGACACGCAAATAACAGGGACCGAGTTCTCACACACAGTTTAACACTTGTCATGCCGCTTTTGAGCACTGCTCGGTCATTCTGCAAAGTTTAGGCAAACATTGTCCTCAGAGGCTCTCAACTCCTTGACTCCTCAGGGACCCGCTCAACCTCTGCAAGTTCTGCTCCAATCGCATCGGCCGTCGATAAAGAGCAGTCCCTCGGTTGGTGCTCGTTTTGTCGAAATTAACGCTGCTTGTAGCGCCAACTGCTCCTGGTTGCGGCTAACTCCATCACTATTCGAGCAAATGTGACTCCGCAAGAAGTACATGTGCATTCCAAGGCAACACTCAGCAGATCCAAATCAGGCATGGAGAGAGTTGCTACTGATGGAGACCAAAAATACCAGTGTAGCTGATGGTAGCTATCGCAGCTATGGGCAGACGCCAGAGTACGTGGCAAAGGCTGCGGTTGTGTTGGTGTTGTTGGTGGTGTGCAAGTAATGCCCATGGCGCAAGCTGTATGTCGCAGCTCAATGCAACATGCTGGCTATCGTGTTTCACTGGTGAACGCCATGTTTCACATCTGAGCAATCTGTCAAAGAACATCCTTCAGAAGTTGTAGCTGTCCTACATCCTTCCGTCACGCAGGCTGAAAACTGCACCAGACATATCACATTTTTCGAGTGGGCTGGTTTAGATGCTCTTTGCTCTCGGCATTTGCATCCATCCTTCAATCAGCCCGACAAAGCTTGGTTTCCAAGCCGCAGTGCTCGGCGACTGGAGAAAAATAACACAGAAAGGGGATGAAAGGGGGTGATGAAGTTCGAGTTTGGTAGTTCCTCCTGAAGCCTTGACTCTGAACGAGAGACATGTCAGGGCCACTTTAGACCTGCCCGCAGGCCACAATTCAGGGCAGCTGCAACAGGGAGCGTCAACATCATTTTCCGCAAAGCCAGTACCGATGGTGAAAAGACTTGGGTGCCTGCTTCTGCCGGTTGCCCTGTTAGATTTTTGCTTCCATTGAGTTTGCGTTTTGCTGTGTGACTCCTGATCGTTTGGTACTGGCCCACGGAGCCTGAATCTTGCGAGACTGACCCATCATTCAGATTTCAGGCTGTCAAGTCCTCAGTGGGGAATAGTTGAACACATTTGAGAACGCTTTCGGCTGGTCACACAACAATCGCTTGGGCCGCCCTTTCAGGCCTGGGCAGGGTCAACATTGTTTCGAGAAGGAGTTCTTTGAGGCTTTGAGGCCTCGGGGTTGCTGGTTACCGGCATGTTTGCTGAACCCCTTTGCAGCTTGGGCTTTTGCTTCAACATAACACTCTTGGAATTGCATAGACTGCTCTTGAACTTCGCATGCCTTGGACAAGACAAACCATGGCCCAGATTGAAGCCTGTGGATGGTGTAAGCATGTGTACGTACGTAAGCCTTGCGAGTTGCACTTGTGCTGCAGGTTGTGTGTTGGTCCTGAGCCCGAATACATGCTCGCCGATGAACATCATTGTGCAAGAAGAATCGCATCCGCATAAGAAGTGAACACCAGTTCACGCTCAACGTTCAGCTGTATAGACGGGTGTCCAATTGTATCCTTTGCCCCTTGTCGTGGCTAACTCCATCTCTATTTGAGCAAATGTGACTCCGCAAGAAGTACATTTGCATTCCAAGGCGCCACTGAGCACATCCAAATCAGGCATGGAGAGAGTTGCTGCTGATGGAGGCCATAAATACCAGTGTAGCTGATGGTCGCTATCGCAGCCATGCGCCGGTGCCAACATTCCGGGCAAACGCTGCGGTGGTTGTGGTGGTGCGCGAAGACTGCCTCTGCCGGATGCTACGATCCACATTTTAGTTTTCTGCCACACACCACCCTGCAAAAGTTGTAGCTGCCCTGCATACTGTCCAAGCTGCTAATGAGATAACTGAACAACGTGGTCAAACAACGAGCCGTTTTCCAGGTCCCGATCATATTATCGCATAGCATTGTCAGGCCGTTTGGTTTGTAGCATTCCTGAATTGCTGGGCGTGGAGTCCACCGTAAACGGACAGGTGATTTGCACAGACTCTTGGGAGTGCCAAGTGAGCTGATCCTGGAAATGCACATGTCCATTTTAGCTTCGTCCTGCAGGTTGCAGCGGTTGACCGACTTGACCTTTGTCGTCAAGTCATGGATATTGGAGCGGGGCATGGGTTTGAGGATGGATTGCAAGGTGACAGATGAGCTGAAAGCTGTGTGTCAGAGTCATGCAAAAGGCAGGCTATTGAGATCAGATCTTCAAAGAAGACACTCGTTTTGGCCGTTGAATATTAGCAGGTAGGCATTTGTATTGGTCGGTGTCCAAGTTGGATAAAGCCTCAAGTTTGAGTTCTACTGTGAAGCGTTGTGCTTTCTCGTTTTGCTACCAAACGCTTGGCGAACTCTGATGGATGTCGACGGCCTGGAGGAGAGAAGCCTTGTCGGCAGTGCCATTGGTCCATCAAGGCCAAGGTGTGTCTCTTTAAAGAAATTGCCGTAACCTCTTTGAGCAGCTTCCTTGCACTTGGCCCCTTATTTCTGAACTGAGCTGAAAACCGTTGCTTCAACTGCCGTGGATTATAGCCAAAGTTTTGTTGTCCTAAGCTGGCCGCTGGCCCCTTGCTGAAACAAAGCTGAGTGCAGTTGCCTACTGCAAGCCCATACCCCACAGGTGAATTCTGGGTGGCTTGCTTGCTTCATGTTCCCAGTATTGGATGATGGCAATTGAGTTGCTGAGTAGCCTCAGCGATCATCACCATGCACTTGTTTTTGCTGTAGACTCAGCATCGTGTCATGGATGGCAGAGGGTCGCACGACCTGAGGAAATCTCAGTTTGTTGTGGTGCTCCAGGTCGGCAGCATCGCCGCATTTTGGCGGACTCTGGTTTATCCATAATTATATTTGTTTTTTTCATGTCCTTTAGTTCAGTCTTTGCGGAATAGACACCCTCTTCATAAACATCATGTCTGGACAAGATATGGAAGCTGCAGTCAGCCCGACGCCACTGTTTCCTGTCAGAAATGGGGCAATGGAGCTTGGTTTTGCACACCACGAACGAATGGAGCAAAATACCAGACATTGAGCCATGATGTCTCGCGGGGCGACCACACCTTGGTGCATAGGGTCTGGAACTTTTACGGCATCTTTGGCTTTGGCAGGGTCATTGGCGCTTTGGTTCCATGCTCATGAGATTGGTGCATCGGTGCGGTTGATCTTCCGTTCGTAGCTGAAGATGCACAGCACAGGTGAGTCGCAAGGCACACTTTCACAATCCTAAGCCTTTGACTATTCTCAAGAACTTGGCACACATCAGGCTCCTGCGAGACCATCGGAGAGATAGAATCTGTTCCACTCGGTGGATCGCCTGGCAGCGTCTGGACGCCACATTTGGGGGCGGAAAAAAAGAGCATCATATAGTCATATAGGGTCTAACATGCATATGGCATGACCATAGTCTTGACGATATATGACCCCATTTGGCTCTAGAAGGCTCCGTTGCGAGTGTCTTTCATTTCAATTTCGTGTGCAGCACTGTGAGGGTAAGGCAAGGTTCTTAGAGGGCTGGCGCAGACAACCCCAGTACCAAACTCTGAATCAAAGTGTAGCTTCTCATTGTCTTGATTTGTTACTTGTCTGACTGGTGTGACTCGTAGGGAATGAGGAAATGGACCCTAAGGAATCTCTGTTGGGTGGTCATTCCCTCATTCCCTACTAAGCACCAGTCAGTTGTTGTCTTTTTCCTTTGTGTGTGTGTGTTGATTGGGTTGATTGGACGCCGCCACTGCTTTTCTTCTTTTTGGCGTGACTTGAGCCAATTCAATCGAGTGAAACGAGACGAGACGTTTGAACATAGTGTGACCTTTGGCTCTGATCCCCAATTCAATGATGGTTCAAATCAACACAAGTCCTTTTGATCCTCTTGGACAACATTCATAAGACCTTGGTTGAACAAATGCATGGTGGATCTGTCTACGCTGCCATGTTGAGCCCAAGGGATTGGGCAAGTGGGGTGAGAGAATGTCTGAGAAAGTCTCACCATGACACCCCCGGAACTGTGTGCTGGCCTCACTAGATTCACTAGACACACGCAGAGGCGCTGGCCATTTGACAAAGCGAAACTGGAAGTGTCGGCCTTATAGCAGCCATCCTACCAAAGTATTTGCAGACGAACCTTGAGCACATTGGCTTTAGCGGCTAAGATTGCGAGATGTTCGAGAAACGTTCATCAAAAGCCGGCAATGCTATGCCCGTTGTGGAAGTGCGGCTGTGATGCCTAAGCAGGTGCCACGTCAGTTTTTTGCCCTCCCCACAGTAATATACATGTTGCACAGGAACAATCCAACGTGGAAGGTGCGCAGCCCACGGTGGAACATGAGCGGCAGTTGTTTGGGCCGGTCCAGATGCCGAGGCCGCTTGCTCCTCAAAGAGGCCATTGAATTGATCCCGAGCGGACGGTGGGAGGCGTGTTCCAGCGGAAAGTGCGAAAAGTGAAACGTGTTTGAGGGCTTTCATGCCAAGGAGCTGACCAGCTTATTGCAGAGTCGGCCCCAAAGAACGAACATAGACCCCCGAGCCGGCGTCCACATCGGGCTGTTCCAAGGTCATGCCCCGCAGCTGCAGGCCGCCAGGCTGAGATTGGAGCAGCAGGCGGGTCAAATCACGTCAGCTGAGAGGAATCTGTCAGACCAGATCCCAAGCCATTTGTGGCAGGCTTTGGAATTGCACTCAACACGGGTACCTCTGCGGCAACTGCGGACTGCAAGAAACAAACATCATTGTAGAAGTGTGTCTCCAATCTCTTGTTTGGTTGGCCCATTATTGTAGAATGTGTTTGGATATTGCAGGCACGTTCGCAGAATGACAAGCAGGCACGTGTCAAGATATTACGCTTCAATTGTGTGTGTGTGTGCGTGTAACCATCGAGCAAGCAAGCTATACAGTTGCATAATATGTTGCATAATTTTAGATGTTTTTGGTGGTGACATGTGGTGACCCATTGCAACAATCATGCTTGGCAAGGATGCCAATCCAGTGCGGCAGATGGGAACTCCGATCGCCGCAAAGCATGCAAAGAGATCGAAAGGAGGTCTCAGTTTTGCGCGCCGCGTCACAGCTTTCGGATTGGGATAGGATATGATAGGATATATTATATAGGCTTTATATGGCTTTATCTGTGAGCAGTTTTGATGGATTTCGGAAGCCTAGCTGGGGTGGCCTGACAGGAATTGGGGCACCTAGGTTGGAGGCCATTGCTTGTAGACTTGTAGGTGTTCTTTCTTTTTGTTTAACTTCTTTGGGGAATCCGATGAACCTCCTCGCCACAAGGTCCGAACAGTGGCTGCAGCCGCTGCGTGGGCAGACAGGTTCGGCGTGCACGGAGGAGTCGACCCCATGTGGACGTGAGACGGCGTGCGAGACGGCGTGAAGCTGAGAAAGTCAGCACAGGGGATCATAGAAGGAGTTTTTGGAGGCTCATGACATCATAATTCATATGTTATATGATGTCTACAATGTCTACAAAAATGAACAAAACTCTTTATTGAACCGGACGCTAGCGATCTTCCCTGCAGCTGTGAACCTCAGGCTGACCACTTGATTTGAACAGGTTCTCCAGCCATGGCAGTGGAACTCAGGCTGACCACCTCTAAGCCAGCTTCCTTTTACTTGCGTGCGGCGAGGCTGGGCTGCTGGTTTTTGATTTTCATTATTTTTGCACGTCCTTTCCCCAGTGCTCGCATGTTTGCCCTGATATCGTTTTGCATCATCAGCACATCGAAGATTGTCTACTGTCAGTTTCCCTAAACAATTTGGAACTATATAAATCATTAGTGCGAGCGCTTCTTCAAGGAAGCTACCCTGCCTAAGCATGAGCTATCCAGTGTCCAGTATGTAGTAGCTCAAGCAGCTAGTAGCTTACTCCCTTACTTAAGTAAGTAGGCGCCTACAGGCGGGGCCTCGGGCTAAGAAAAACTGTGCGAGCCTTGCATCCAGCAGAAATGACTCACGACATCTCACGAGACTCTTTTCTCTTCTCTCTCTCTCTCTCTTCCCTCTCTCTCTCTCTCTCCGCAGCGGGGATTCGGGGTGAAAGACCCTGACAGAGAAAAAACACAAAACCAAGAGGGTCATGCTGATCGGTTGAGAGCCGAAAGAGTTGAACACGAACACGGGAATACCGAAAGAGTGGACCGGCTCAATGCGACACACGAATCATGCAAATCACCCGTTTTCTTGTGGTGTCGCTAGCTGCTAGCTCGTGGAGCACGCGAGGGATCGGGCACTGCAGTGTAGCTTCTAGCTGCGTGGCTGCTCCCTTAAAGCCTCACAAACTCCTGCCTAATTGTGCAGGTAATGTACAGGTAGAGGTATGGTCCATCATGCTCCTTTACCTTGTTTTCCTTTTCAACAGCTAGGTCCTTCTTGGAGGGCGTCCCAGCCAAAGACGACAAGCCAGCAAAGCCGCCCTTGGATACTGTGACCCTGACCGCCCTGGGCAACGCCATTAGCGTGGCATGCTTCATTGGGGGCACGTTGGAAAAGGAACGCCTTGCAACCATTGCAGCTGTTTGGGGCTGAGATCCAAAAACGATATTTTTCTTGAAGCTTCATGTGTCAGACATTTGCCCTGCAGCTTTTCGTTAATCAGGTGCGCACCAAATGGACTCCAGTGGCGGGCCCCATGAAGCACACGCCGAATGTCACTGTGGTACTGAAGAGGCTGGGGATGCGTGGAGTTGGACCATCAGCCATCCAAACAGACAGGTCTGCACATGGACGCTAGCTGAGTTTGTTCTTGCTATGGCCAGGGGGGCCAACACAGTGACTTCTTGCAGCCGATGATATGGCCCTAAATATACCTAAATAGCATTCTTTGACCCGCGCTGGCCTCAAGTCAGTCAAAGCAAACTATATAAGTATATTGGACCATATTGGACCTTTCTTCCCTTTCTTTTGACTTTGTTTCTAACAGCAATGGCCTCCAACCTAAGATCGATGGCCTCAAACTCAAACCCACTTCCGAATGAAGACATCACAATCCGCCAGGAAGGAGGCTGAGAAACTTATGTCGGGTTCTTTGGCCGTGACGAACGAGAGCACCGATCCAATCGCTGGGCAGAAGCCGGGCACCTCTGGGCTGAGGAAGAAGACCAAGGCCCGTTGAGACACAGGTCATGCAGACTGTTGATTAATGAACCTGTCCCAGGACTCGAGATGCAAAAGGATGTAAAGCTAGCAGCTACTCCGGGGACGGTTAGGTTTTGATCAAGCAACAGTCGACATCAATCAACTTTCCTATTTGAGGCAGAGAGTGGAGCTTCATGAAATGATGCCTCAGAATGGACTGGAGTAAAGGGTTGCCTAGTAGATGGGTAGGTGACGCAATGACAGGACAACATTCAAACAAATAGATTTCTGTGTACATTTCTTTGTGACCTTGTGGCTCTTGGGGCTCCATGCAGGAGTTCATGGGCAAGAATTATTTGGAGAACTTTGTCCAAAGCACTTTCGATGCACTCAAAGCAACTAATGTGCCCGTGGAGGGTGGCACCCTGGTGGTGGGCGGAGATGGCCGTTACTACAACAAGGCCAGAGCAAATCAATCACCTTGTTTGGGCAAGTGCCCTTTGGCTTCCTGTGCTCTTGACCAGGATGCCATCCAAATCATTACCAAAATGGCAGTGGCGAACGGGGTGAAGACAATTTGGATTGGCAAGGACCAGTTTCGGCCATCAGTAACAGGGTGCGAATTTTTATTTTCCTTGATTTGACTTGTGCTGATTATGTGGTCATGCTACCCGGAGCATCGCATGGCTGTTGATGGAGTTGAGTCGTTGGGGCTGGTTTGCTTTCTTTGCAGTTCTGTTTGTTCTATCTTGGCTTCTTCTCAGGACGGATTGCTGAGCACACCGGCTGCCAGTGCTGTCATTCGCACCCGCGAGGGTGGCTTCGTGCCATTCGGAGCCTTCATTTTGTCTGCCTCTCACAATCCGGGCATCTCGGCCGCTCTTTCAGGTCCACCACCTCCGAAATCCACCGCGTCCACCGGTCCACCGGTCAGAGCAATTGAGCTTGTTTGTTGGCCTGTTGTGAATTTGTGGGCAGAATATGCGATAGTGCACCTATATAGTAGTTAAAGTTAGTAGTTGCACCTTTAGGATTAAGCCGTCGCAGTTCGTGCGCAAGGTGGCCTTGATGAGGATTTTGGCATCAAGTTCAATTGCGAGAATGGAGGACCTGCCCCGGAGAAGGTGACAAACATGATCTTTGAGAACACCAAGACTATCAAGGAGTACAAGATTTGCAAAGGTTTCCCAACTATGGACATCGGCACATCAGGCACTTACGTGGTGGACGGAAAGATCCGCGTAGATGTCTTTGACTGTGCCGAAGATCATGTTGGACTGCTGATGAAGGTGTTCGACTTTGACTCCATCAAGAAGCTTATCGCAAGAAAAGACTTCAGCTCGAGACCTAAAGGGTTGAGAAGAGGGTTTTGTTGTGAAAGACATGATGGGTTTGTTCTGCAAAGAGATGCAGTTTTATGTTTCATGTATTGCAGGCTTTCAGCCTTGAGGGCAAAGCTAGAGAAAATGAAAGATAAGGCATGGTCTACGACTCTATGAATGGTGTGCAGGGTCCGTATGCGCGCCGTGTTTTTGTCGAGGAGCTGGGTGCACCCGAGTTCCCTGGCAAAGACACAGCAGAGGGAGTCATAGGGCGGAGTGGGAGTCCTTCCTTCGCCCTTCCAAGGTCGGTGCTGATGAATGCCGTGCCCAAGGAAGACTTTGGAGGAAAGAACTCCCCATCTCACGGGCATGCGGATCCCAACCTGACCTATGCTGTGGAGTTGGTGCAAAAGATGGGAACCAATAAGACAGGCGCAGACCAAAGAGTTTTGAAGAAGAGGACTAATGAGAACCCTGTTGTGTATATATATATATACATATATCTGTGTGTGTGTTGCTTGAAGGGGCACCTGTAGGAGCTACTCGTACAGAGACCTACAGGTTCTCTCAAAGCAATCATTTTGACCGAACCCTTTAGAACGTTTTAGCAATTTGAGTGCAATGTAAATATAGCCTTTGAAATCAGACCTGCTTGTTTTGTGCACAGATAATTCCACACTGGCGGTAGGCGAGAAAGTGGGCAGCGGTGAGGGAGTGCCTGATTTTGGTGCGGCAGCTGATGGTGATGCGGACAGGAACATGATTCTGGGGAAGCAGTGGTTTGTGAGCCCTTCCGACAGCCTTGCCATCATTGCAGCTAACATCAGCTGCATCCCATTCTTCAAGGAGGGCTTGAAGGGATGCGCACGTTCGATGCCAACATCAGGTGCAATGCGACCCAAACCTCCCGCTTTGAAGAGGGATCGTTTCGTAGAGGAATTCTCGATCAAAGCATCTTTGTTGGAGAAGGGACTGTAACAAGAATTCCCTTTATTTCCCAGGCCTGAACGAGTCAGGTTTTGATACCAGGAACTGACCAGCTTAGGTGCTCTGGACTTGGTGGCCAAGAAGAAGAAGATCCCATGCTTTGTCACCCCAACGGGCTGGAAGTTCTTTGGCAACTTGATGGACTCTGGGGATGAGAAGCTTGGCTTCACTTCAGAACATTTACACGGGCCTGGCGCTTGATTCAATAAACAAGCCTTGATAATTCATTATATACATATGCCACGATCCACACGTACTCATGTCTTGGGGTTAGCTCCTGTACAAGATTGAATTTTCAGAGATTGCTTAGCAACTTTGTCACACCAGGGTCAGCCACCTGTTGTTAATGCATTTTCTGCCAGCCTTGTGCACGTTGGTGCATTATCCAGGAACTCCCAGATGCCATTTGTTTGGTAGATGACGTTGAAGATACACATTCAATGCTGTTCTCTCTTCCCTAGTTTGGGCCCCACCAGCCATTTGGCTGAGGAAGTACTTCCCAGAGACGGAGAACTACACTCCTTTCCTGTGTGGAGAAGAGAGTTTCGGAACTGGTGCCAACCACGTTCGGGAGAAGGATGGTATGTGGGCAGTGCTTGCCTGGCTGCAAATCCTGGCAAGCAAGAACCCAGATGAGTCGAAGCCGTTGGTCACAGTGGAACAGATCACCAAGGACTCAACCTTCTCAGAAATGCTTGCCACACTTGAGCATTGCGGGGAGGTCTTAGTGTAAAGATTGGTATTGCGCTCAGGCTTACAATGTTCCACAAAGCTCTCAGACATCAATGCACATGCTAGTTTGACGATGATATGGGCAGCAGTGGAACAGGAAATGTAGGGAACATGAACCATCAGATCTCGACCCTTGGAATGTACGTATGACGGTGGTTTCTGCATGTTTCTGCTGATTTCACGACTTTGTTGAAGGT